TGACTCCGTCCTCTCCAGGGGAAGTAGACCTACCCCTGGCGAGGGCGGCGTCAAGCTCCCACTCAGTATATGGAACATCACACTCATCGTGCTGTTTGCCCAGCATAAAGCTAATAAGATTACTTCTCTCTACAGACTTCGCATCAAGGAGTCCCCGAGTCCCAGCTGGTAACATGTCATAGCTCGACACATGAGCCCACTTTGTTATTAGCTCATTCGACTTTTGCAGAGGGTTTGGATGGGAGACGTGTCTTCTGTTTTTACCTCTGATTATGTTTATGTCTTTCCAGGCTTTGCTGAGGGATGTGTGTTGGTTCAGGCTGTTGACATATGTCTCCCATGCATTTTGTCTGAGTTCGTTTACACGTTCCCTGACAGCAGCAAGGGAAGCTTGATACAATTGTAACATTTGAGGTGTTCTACATTGTCTGTAACCCTTACCCACCCTCCTGACCCTAGCCCTGAGTTTTTTCAGCTCAGGGTCATTATAGCACTGCTGTTGCCTGTTCCCATTATGCTGACCACGTTTTCTCCTTTTTTTGGTGGAGGCATTGTTGGTGAAGTATACATAAGTCCTATCTATCAGATCGTCATGGAAACTTTGGTAATTGTCAGGCTTGTAGTCCTTGTACCAGTCATGGATGAAGTCTATGAACTGGCTTTCATGTTCTTGCTTGACTGTGATTCTACGTCTGTTGAGTTTACCACCAGTGGGGGTGTCATTGGCTACATGTATACTAGCTTGGATTGGGCTGTGGTCAGACATAAGATCAGTGACAACATCAGAGCTATGAGTTGTGTATGATAGATTAAAGCCAATACATTTGTCTAGACCCCCGCCATAGATGTGTGTTGGTTCATTATTACCTATAATTTGAACATCTTCATATGCACTGAGAAGTGAGATAAGTCTCCTACCATTGGTGTTAGTGGTGGAGTCACCTAATTTCTTGTGTCTAGTATTCAGGTCACCCATTAGGACAGTGGGCTCAGTGTGTAAAAAGTCTGGGAGATCTGTGTATTGAAGCTGATCTGAGGGAGCATAGGCGTTTAGCACGTTGAGTGTGGAGTTGCCCAGGTGGATAGTGATCCCATGGTACTGAAGGTTGGTAGTCTTTTTGGATACAAGAGGTACATGCGGGAGTGACTTCTTAACATACATCAAACATGTGTGAGTAGAACTAGGATCATAATACACATAATTGGGCAGACTGGGTGGGGGCTTACCATTAGGTGTGAGACACTCCTGCAGACACACAATATCGATGTCCTCAGTCACAACTTTGTGGTGTAGGTCAGGGTATCGTTTTCTAAGGGATGAGATGTTCCAACTCATCACCTTCACCGCTCTGTATCTTTGTCTGGTATTAACACTGGCCATTATGAAATGTATTTGGAAAGAAGCAAAAGGCACTGTATGATACTGTTCTTTTCTGCGCTGCCTGTCCCTTCGGCAGGCAGTAGGCCAGTTAACCTTTTGGAAACATTTCTGGAGCACGTACGGCTCAACAATTGTTGTATTTCATTGGCAGACAACAACACACTTTGGTTACACTCGACATCACCACCATTTTCTGTTTGTGCTTGTTCATCTTCACTGACCATGTCCACAGAGGCATCAGTAGAACTGTTACCAGTATCACTATTTTCCTCTGCGTGGACACTAGTTCCTGGTGGGTCTTGAGTTTCCACATCTGGTACTGACATCTGAATGTCTTCAGTTTGACTGTAATTTTTCCGAAGTTGCTGCACTGTGTTGGTGGTGTTTTTTTCCTTTAGTGTATCACAGAGGCTCCCAAACATTTCAGTTAGAGCTGTAAACTGAGCTTTGAGTTCTTTAATTTCATTTTTCAAATCATTGATCTCTTCACGATGTGCAGGGAGTGTGTTGGCAGCTACCTGTTGTGTCGGTACATCTGTGTTGCCCCATGCTGATCTTTCGATGACTGCTGGTGATGATCCTGGAGCTTTGGTGGGGAGGGCAGGCCAGGGGTTGGCCGTAGGGAGTACCCTAGCAGCATTAGTGTTTCTTGAGACCTGCCTGGGTGGCGGGTCTGGGCGCTGAAGGGGTGTAGGAGCTCTAGAACAGTTAGGGTGCCATACAGGAACTCCAACTGTTTTGCAGTTAATACACTTCTGTTGGATGACACCCCCTTGAGCAACTGTATCTCTGCAAACCTGTGTTGCATGTTGCCTTGAGCAGAGACCACACCACGGCTTAGTCGAGGGGCATAACCGGGCCACATGGCCCCAGTGCTGACAGTTGTAACACCTCCGGTTAGGGGGCTGATAGAGTGTTACCTTCAGAGCCCGATAGGCACCACGGACTCGAATGGTCTTGGGTGGGTCTTCCGAGCCAACCCAGTCTGCAATGACTGCATTCTTGCCCCTGAGTCGCTTCGTCCTTCTGATGTAGGGATGGGCTTCTAGTAGTGTAGGGGTCTGGTACTGGTCGAGCCCTATGATTATTATGGTTTTCTTGCTCGGTGGTTGGGATGATTGTTCCATGGTTATTCCCCTTATGCTATTGGTGAGGAGATCCTGTATGACTGCTGGATCGTTTCTAATCAGAACATGATCTTGTGTACCGACTCTGAACTGAAACTCAGCCTCAGGATATTTGTCTTCCGCATCGTTCAGGTGATGTACCTTCAGGGAAGTATAATCTTACTCTCATGGGGGTTTGTGGTTGTAGTTGATTGTCTCTAAGTCTTTCTGCCTTTTCGGCCTTCCGCTTGTTCCTGGACTGAACTAGTTGAAAGCCATCTTCTCCGTTGGTATCAAGGTCAACACCACAGTCGCCTGGCTCACTCAGTGCATCAGGAGAGTTAAAGCGAGCAGCTGGGTCTCCAGTCAACTCAGACATGGTGGAGTTACAGGGCTCGACTTATATGCCTACGTCAGAGGGCCGAGGACTGCTTGGCACTCCTAGGAAGTCAGCGGTGGTTGGGAGGCGTAACCCTCTTTGAGGACAAAGGAGATTGGCATCTACTGTACAGCGTATTAGCGGTGTGAGGGGAGGCCATGAGCGGGCCTCCCGCGGACGGAGTGTGGTGTCGGGGGGACTAAGGTAACAGGAGTATTCTCAGTTTATAAACACTTTTATTACACTACACTTGTTCTTAATAGCATGTCTGTTTTTCTGGTTAGATACAGTATCAAAGTCAATTTTAGTTTCAAAAGAACTAACCAGCTTGGCACACTATGAGGACGGGGGTTTGTGTAAACAAACCCTCACCACATGGCCCAGCGTGACCACAAGGGTATAGGCCTTGCCTCGCGGGCACCTACACCTACACACGACACAGTGCTCAACACACGGTAGTTCACTTGTTATACAGGCAACATATTTGCAGTTGTTGACCTATCCCCACCCTACTGGGTGGTGTTGTGTTATATCGAAGTCAAGTGTGAAGCCGACCCACTGTTGTTCTCAGGGTGGACTGATTAGCACCTCCTTGTCAGGAGATGGCGGTCAGTACCCAGTGGTGCTTATCTCACTGGCGGGTCACGGCTCTCACTGGTACTGTCTAGTACTGAATTCACTGGCTTAAACACTGTTCTTAACTGTTCAACACTGGTTCCACTTCTTTCTGAAACGAAATGTCACTTTGGTTATGTTGATATCCCGGTGGTGAGGATGGGTCGGGGAGAGGGACTTGGGGAATGGGCCGACATGGCCAAGGGTGAGAGCTGCTCAGCAGGAGCAGCGCCTAAATAGGTCTTGACCCTACGTTGACCCAGTGTTGACCTGACCACCGTAGGGTGTAGGGAGTGGTAGGGTGAGGGTGTAGGGAGTGGAAAGGGTGTGGGTGTAGGGAGTGGTAGGGTGAGGGTGTAGGGAGTGGTAGGGTGTAGGGAGTGGTAGGGTGAGGGTGCTGGGAGTGGAAACGGTGAGGGTGTAGGGAGTGGTAGGGTGAGGGTGCAGGGAGTGGAAAGGGTGAGGGTGTAGGGAGTGGTAGAGTGAGGGTGTAGGGAGTGGTAGAGTGAGGGTGCAGGGAGTGGTAGTGTGAGGGTGTAGGGAGTGGTAGGGTGAGGGGTGGAAGGAGTGGTAGGGTGAGGGTGTAGGGGTGCTAGGGTGAGGGTGTAGGGAGTGCTAGGGTAAGGGTGTATGGAGTGGTAGGGGTGGGTGCAGGAGTGGTAGGGTGAGGGTGTAGGGAGTGGTAGGGTGTAGGGACTGGTAGGGTGAGGGTGTAGGGAGTGGTAGGGTGAGGGTGTAGGGAGTGGTAGGGTGTAGGGAGTGGTAGTGTGAGGGTGTAGGGAGTGGTAGGGTGTAGGGAGTGATAGTGTGAGGGTGTAGGGAGTGCTAGGGTGAGTTCTGCAGCAACACGCACTCAACCATTACTTGTGTTCCTTTGGTTAACTAGGGAACGCACTCTTGTGTTGTGTGGTCTTTAATAATCTCACAAAAGGAAGAGAATATTATAAAACAAATATATGTTGTTGACAAGTGTTGGTAAGTCACACGCTCATACAGGTGAGGTCGGCGGCGGCATCATTAACCTCCTTAACGTTTAAATATGATATTATTATGACTATGGGAGAGTGATTTTTAATAGAGGTCTCAAGAGAAAGGGTCATGATATTATGTAAGTTGACGCTGTATAAGTAACGCTGCTTATCTGTTGTGTGTAAAGCTGAGGTTTACACTACCATAAGAGTCTTCTTGACAGAGAACAAGACACACCCTCCCTACGTGTGTGGGTTGAGGATATATGGAGGCAGGTGTGGGTATATCTAGCTTCATTCTGTGTGACCCATGATCCAGCCCTCAAGAGGAGTAAACACAGTGGATAATGTGACTTAGTGAGTCACCATAATCATTACTTTTACACTAAATTATAATTCTCTTATGGTCTGCCTACGAGACCTCACTTGAGATATTACAAACTTGTGTACAGTACAGTACAGTACAGTACAGTAGGGTACTGTACTGTACTGGACTGTATTTATTATTGGTTGGCTTTCTTCAGTGGTTTAGGTTATATACATAAACAGTGTTTGCTGTGCAATATTTTATTATATTCTGCCAATATTCTCTAAATGATTAATAGATAATATATAATGTCTTGATAAAGTCTTACACAAGTAGTGATGACATGTCTCTATAAAGTGCTGTATTGGTTAGGTTACATTGGGTCATGTTCGAGGTGATAAATTTAGGGTTTGCTGGGGATAGGTGGGTTAGGTCATTAAGGGACAGGTTACATTAGGCCAGGCTGACATAGGAAGGTTTGGTCAGGTTTCCGGGTCCGGGGGTTAGTGAAGCCTGGAACACTAGCATGTCACTCCTTCAGATGAACAAATCCCAAGGAATTCCTCATAGTGGTCCTGGTAGTCGTGGTGCAGGTAAGAGAGAGGCAGCTGCTTCTCACACTACTTGTTGTAGTTGGTCATTGGTTTGTTATCTTAGGCACGTGATGGAACAATTGTACCCAGTGGAGTCATTCACGCCTTTGGTTATGAATTCGAGTTTCATCGCGTTGGTGGGGAAGACGCCGTTAGGTTTAACATTCCCGCAGAGTCTGTTGAGGATAACGCCATCATATAGTAATTAACATTGGCTGGTTATAGTGACAGGCAGGAGGTTATAGTGAGGTATTATTATCAGTTTATGCTCAGACTGAGGAGACAAAGTATTCGAGGTAACAGGAGTAATAATGTGTTAGTGGTTGTAATTAAAGTAATAGTTATTGAAGCATCAGAAGTTAGTAAGAGTGTTATTACTTGATAATATTACCAACATCAAAAGTAAAGGTTTAATGATAGATAAAAATAATGCAAGTATTGTTATGACTGGATCACATATTGTCTTTATGTCCAGTAACTACTAATGTTACTGTCAATATCACACACAGAAGCAGTAGTTGTTGTAGTAGTAGTAGTAGTGTAATTTTAAGGAGAACCGGTATTGTAATACTATTTGCATTGTATAATAACAATAGCAGTAAAAGTTGTTTTTTTTAGTTTGTAGTAAAGGTAGTAAGAGTAACAGTAGTAGAGGTGGTGGTGGTGGTGGTGTTGTACCGGGTAACACATACGTGGAGGAAGTGGTGTCGTAGGATATGATGAGTCGTTCATTGTCACAGTCTTCCAGGTTAAATACTTCGCAGGCGACTCCAAGCTTGGCACTCGGTGACTGGCAGACGATATTCTGTTGACAACTGTGGGAAGGAGTGAACACCTGTAGACGTTATTGTGGAAGACGGAATAATCTTAGAGGAATACAGGTGTTGGTGGAAGTAACACCTGTGGTGGTAATAATGTTAGAGGAACACAGGTAGAACTAACAATTGTAATCGTCTTTGTATCCTCGGGAAGGTTACAGTTTAGACGCCATTTAGTTTGTCATCTTGGTATTGTGTCTTAGATAGGGTTGTCATATCTGAACATTAAAAAAAGAGGACGTTCCCGAAGACATCAGCCGCCCCCCCCCTTACCTGGCACACACTTTGGCGCTATGTAACCTTGATGCAGCCGTGACCGTTTTATGCTCTGGAAAAGTACAACAAATCGTAAGCACTAGCTGTGGCACCAAGCGACAAACCCACAACAAAGACTAAGATCAAACACTGTCACTGCAGGTTAAAGACTGGCCAACCACCGGCCACCGTCATAGTTGTCGACACACGTAAATAATATAAGGAAAGTGGCTAGATTGTGGTTGGAAATTGCTAAAATGCCTTAAAAGCAGGACAAGAAAAACAAACGCTACCGTGTAAAATAAGCCATAAGAAAAAAATGGTATACTTTCAACATTTCATTTATGGCTGTAATAGCAACTAAATATAAAATAATATAATAATGCGCGTGGCTGAAGAACAAGGAAAAGCAGTACATGGCACTACAGTTTACCCCAAAAACTGCTAGCAGCTAAGTTGACACCACCGTACAGGCGTACACGTGACTTATCAGCTGACGAGAACTGAACAAGATCTCTACTGTTTCCACCTCCCCTCTCTCACAGTCTCTCTCTCTCTCTCTCGTCATTACAGTTTCATGTTTCTTTCCGTGGAGAAAATGATGGAAGCTGAAATTCCGGACTTTTGAAGAATTTTAAAAATTCCTTCTGGATGAAGATTTCGAGACCTAAATGGAGGACATGTCCGGGAAAATACGGACGTATGGCAACCCTGGTCTTAGACATATTGGAACACCTTTAATTTAAGAGAAACATTAAACACCTTGAGGATCCTCGTTTAAAAGTTACAGTAACTTACGTTAATATGACTGCAGACGTGAACATGTATTTAACTGAAGCAACAGCACAAACATATTGACCTGAGACTACCTGTATTGTTATGGTGTACCTGTAGTGTTATGGTGTACCTGTGAAGGTGAACTGGGGATGATCTTACCTGCTCTTGTTGGTCAGGCGGGCGGGGTAACCTGGTGACTGCACCAAGACCACATCGCCGAGTTTCATGGTGTGGGGGCCACACGGAAGGATCACTGGATCTACCGGAGCAGTTTTGTTGTCTATTGCTCCCACAACCGTGACGGTCACCACCAGTAGCGTCAACATGTACTTCATCCTCAAACAACTTGTTCACTTTTCTGTAACAACTGAACAAGTTTTGTGGGTTAATAAAGTGTTTATTATCACATATAATCGTTATCTCCTACGACTTAGAATATAATATGAAATGTTTAACGTTCATGTTAGCAGTATTAATAATTGTTTATGTTTTCACCTTAGTTACACCTTGATCTGAATTAGTAAAAGTAACATACATTATTAATTCTATTTTAGCCGATCTCGTAGGATCAGTCGTAACACCTGATAAGTGTAAACATGTTAACAACAACACTCATAATAAGAAAACTTAACAAAAGGTAAACATTTCAAACAATTTCGTGGATGATAAATGACCATCATAAATAATAATAATATTAATAATAGTAATAATTATGTTACACTGTTTGATTTGCCTCATTATCTTCAGCTTTTGAGAACAATTTAAAAACTAATAGCGGATACTGTACTGTACCGTAATATATAGTACTGTACTGCACTGTGTTGTACTAAACAGTACTGCACTGCACTGCACTGTGCTGTACTAAACAGTACTGCACTGCACTGCACTATGCTGTACTATGCAATACTGTAGCCTACCTTTTAGTACTGTATTGCGCTGTGCTGTACTAAACAGTACTGCACTGCACTGCACTGCACTATGCTGTACTATGTAATACTGTACCTTTTAGTACTGTACTGCGCTGTGCTGTACTATACAGTACTGTGCTGTACTGTACCTCTTAGTACTGTACTGCACTGTGCTGTACTGTGCCTTTCAATACTGTCCTCAACTGTGCTGTACTGTACCTTTTAGTACTGTACTGCACTGTGCTGTACTGTACCTTTCAATACTGTCCTGCACTGTGCTGTACTGTACCTTTTAGTACTGTACTGCACTGTGCTGTACTGTACCTTTTAGTACGGTCCTGCACTGTGCTGTACTGTACCTTTTAGTACTGTACTGCACTGTGCTGTACTGTACCTTTTAGTACTGTACCGCGCTGTGCTGTACTGTACCTTTCAGTACTGCCCTGCACTGTGCTGTACTATACAGTACTGTGCTGTACTGTACCTTTCAGTACTGTTCTGCACTGTGCTGTACTATACAGTACTGTGCTGTACAATAAACAGTATAACTTAACTTGAGGGAAGGTTGTTGGTATATCGTGTGTATGTTTATGCATGTAACTGGCGGCGTGTATCACGCTCTGTATGTTAATTACCGACTACAGCCCATACAAGTATTTTTAACATTATTGTCAAACGTTAGAAAGTGAGAGACTACCACTACCAGGTATAACTTGTTAATGTTAACAACAAGTTATATTGGTCACGTGTTGTGATGGTCTATATTACAGTACTACCACTACCAGGTATAACTTGTTAATGTTAACAACAAGTTATATTGGTCACGTGTTGTGATGGTCTATATTACAGTACTACCACTACCAGGTATAACTTGTTAATGTTAACAACAAGTTATATTGGTCACGTGTTGTGATGGTCTATATTACAGTACTACCACTACCAGGTATAACTTGTTAATGATAACTACAAGTTATATTGGTCACGTGTTGTGATGGTCTATATTACAGTACTACCACAACCAGGTATAACTTGTTAATGTTAACAACAAGTTATATTGGTCACGTGTTGTGATGATCTATATTACAGTACTACCACTACCAGGTATAACTTGTTAATGTTAACTACAAGTTATATTGGTCACGTGTTGTGATGGTCTATATTACAGTACTACCACTACCAGGTATAACTTGTTAATGTTAACTACAAGTTATATTGGTCACGTGTTGTGATGGTCTATATTACAGTACTACCACTACCAGGTATAACTTGTTAATGGTAACTACAAGTTATATTGGTCACGTGTTGTGATGGTCTATATTACAGTACTACCACTACCAGGTATAACTTGTTAATGATAACAACAAGTTATAATGGTCACGTGTTTTGATGGTCTAACAACTCGGTTATGGCGGGGTATAAGTTTACTAATACACTTCGCTTGACACACAATACTCACCTGTGTACAGGTGTACTAGTAATAGTGTTGTGCTTCTCCTCCTCCTCGCAGGCCAATATAAACACTCCCCCCCCCTTCACCCCAACTCCCACAATGCATCACTACACCGCCGAGTTTCTCATCCATATTTTATAGAAACATTTAAGAGTGACAATATACATAAATGACAGGTAAAGAGATTTACCTGTTGATGAAGGTACTCTACACCTGAGTACACCTGAACACCTTGTTGATGAACCACTGTATTAACTCCACTATACAAATGAGTTAACATTAATGACTTGGTGCCCCTTAAGTATGACGTCACTGCCAACACTGTTACAGGTTTACAATGTGGCGCATCTGTTACCGAGACCTTCATGTTATAAATACTGTATGCATGTATGTATGTATGAATATATGTATGTATCTATGTATGTACGTATGCATATTACAGATTCAGTTTTGAAAAATAATGAATATTTTCGGCAAATGGGGATATTTATTAATTTATTTATATTTTCTGCTAATTAATTTCTATAATAAAATATTGCCTATTTTCTTTAATGCGTCGTTTACTATTACAGTGTAAGATAACCAGATTATATCGTTAGTAGGTTAGGTTAGGTTAGGTTAGTATGGTTTACTTGCCAATTCTGACCAGTTAGAAGTTAACACAAAATACACAAGATATTCCATGCCTAACCTAACCTATAAATGGAATAATACATTTTACCACATAGGAATTTCCATGAAGGTTTAGTAATGAAAATACAAATTATCCATATTTGTCAAAAAAAAATCAGTTTGTTTTCAAAGTTTAATAGGTGATTATCCCTATTTAACGAGACGTAGGTGATTATCCCTATTTAACGAGACAGTAGATATTTAAATAGGTGATTATCGCTATTTAACGAGATGTAGGTGATTATCGCTATTTAACCAGACAGAAGATATTTTAATAGGTGATTATCCCTATTTAACGAGATAGTAGATATTTAAATAGGTGGTTATCGCTATTTATCGAGACGTAGTTGATTATCCCTATTTAACGAGACGTACCGAGTAGAGACGCTGCCGTGTTGTGTGTCAGAGGAAGAGCGTCTTGGGAAGCTAAGTCAACAACACATATAGTCAGTTTATGAGGCCGCTCACACCTTAACTAACTTAGCTGCTGTTGTTAGATTAGGTGTAGAGAGGGGAGGTTGGACGCCGTTAATAGTAGTTGTTGTTGTTATTATTGTAGACATTGTGGTGGTACAATACTATTAAGATAAGTAGTACCTGTAGTAATCTAGTTATCTTATAATAGTAAACGACGCCTTAAAGAAAATAGGCAATATTTTTTTATAAACGAATTAATAGAAATTAATTAGCAGAGAATATAAATATATTAATAAAAATCACCATTTGCCCAAAATATTCATTATTTTTCAAAACTGAATCTGGACTAATAATGATAATAATAATAATAATGATAATAATGATAATGATAGTAGTAGTAGTAATAATGATAATGATAGTAGTAGTAGTAGAAGTAATAATGATAATAATAATGATAATGATAGTAGTAGTAGTAGAAGTGATAATGATAATAATAATAATAATAATAATAATGTTAGTAGTAGTAGTAGTAGTGATATTGATAATAATAATAATAATGATACTGATAGTAGTAGTAGTAGTAGTGATAATGATAATTATAATGATAATGATAGTAGTAGTAGTAATAATGATAATAATAATGATAATGATGGTAGTAGTAGTAATAATGATAATAATAATAATAATGATGATAGTAGTAGTAGTAGTAGGGATAATGATAATAATAATGATAATGATAGTAGTAGTAGTAGTAGGGATAATGATAATAATAATGATAATGATAGTAGTAGTAGTAATAATGATAATAATAATGATAATGATAGTAGTAGTAGTAGTGATAATGATAATAATAATGATAATGATGGTAGTAGTAGTAGTAGTAGTGATAATGATAATAATAATAATAATGATAATGACAGTAGTAGTAGTAATAGTAATAATGATAATTATAATAATAATGATAATGATGTTAGAAGTAGTAGTAGTAATAATGATAATAATAATGATAATGATAGTAGTAGTAGTAATAATGATAATAATAATGATAATGATAGTAGTAGTAGTAGTAGTAGTAGTAATAATGATAATGATAATGATAGTAGTAGTAGTAGTAGTAATAATAATAATAATAATAATAATAATAATAATGATAGTAGTAGTAGTAGTAGTAATAATGATCATAATAATGTTAATGATAGTAGTAGTAGTAGTAGTAATTATGATAATGATAATGATAGTAGTAGTAGTAGTAAATAATAATAATAATAATAATAATAATAATGATGATAGTAGTAGTAGTAATAATAATAATAATAATAATGATAGTAGTAGTAGTAGTAGTGATAATGATAATAATAATGATAATGATAGTAGTAGTAGTAGTAATAATAATAATAATAATAATAATAATAATAATGATAGTAGTAGTAGTAGTAATAATGATAATAATAATGATAGTAGTAGTAGTATTAGTAATAATAATAATAATAATAATAATAATAATGATGGTAGTAGTAGTAATAATAATAATGATAATGATAGTAGTAGTAGTAGTAGTAGTATTAATGATAATGATAATGATAGTAGTAGTAGTGATAATGATAATAATAATGATAATGATAGTAGTAGTAGTAGTAATAATAATAATAATAATAATAATAATAATAATAATAATAATAATAATAATGTTAGTAGTAGTAGTAGTAGTGATAATGATAATAATAGTAATAATGATAGTAGTAGTAGAAGTAGTAGTAATAATGATAATAATATGATAATGATAGTATTAGTAGTAGTAGTAATAATAATAATAATACTAATAATAATGATAATGATAGTAGTAGTAGTAGTAGTAGTAGTAATATTGATAATAATAATGATATTGATGGTAGTAGTAGTAGTAGTGATAATGATAATGATAATGATAGTAGTAGTAGTAGTAGTAGTAATAATGATAATAATAATGATAATGATAGTAATAGTAGTAGTAGTGATAATGATAATGATAATGATAGTAGTAGTAGTAGTAGTAGTAATAATGATAATTATAATGTTAATGATGGTAGTAGTAGTAGTAATAATAATAATAATGATAATGATAGTAGTAGTAGTAATAATGATAATAATAATAATAATGATAATGATAGTAGTAGTAGTAGTAGTGATAATGATAATAATAATGATAATGATAGTAGTAGTAGTAGTAGTGATAATGATAATAATAATGATAATGATAGTAGTAGTAGTAATAATGATAATAATAAAAATGATAATGATGATAGTAGTAGTAAAAATGATAATAATAATAATAATGATAATGATATTAGTAGTAGTAGTAGTGATAATGATAGTAGTAGTAGTAGTAGTAGTAGTAATAATGATAATAATAATGATAATGATAGTAGTAGTAGTAGTAGTAGTAGTGATAATGATAATAATAATGATAATGATGGTAGTAGTAGTAGTATTAATAATGATAATAATAATAATAATAATGATAGTAGTAGTAGTAGTAGTGATAATGATAATAATAATGATAATGATGGTAGTAGTAGTAGTAGTAATAATGATAATAATAATAATAATGATGGAAGTAGTAGTAATAATACTAATAATAATAATAATGATAATGATAGTAGTAGTGACCTTACAGGAGCAGGAAAAGTGGAGTGCATCAAAAAGTGGTGGGACTTGGTAACATCGCGAGGTCCACAAATAGGGTACCACCCAAACGCCAGCAAGTCCTTCCTCATCGTGAAGCCAGAACATTATGAACAGGCATTGGAGGTTTTTGGCGGAAGTGAGGTCAAAATAACTAAGGACGGCCAAAGACATCTAGGCGCAGTAATTGGCACTACGGACTTCAGGACCGAGTACGTAGCGGGAAAGGTGAATGAGTGGGTTAGTGAAATCCAAGCTCTGTCTGAGATTGCTAACACAGAGCCACATGCGGCCTTTGCAGCATTCACCCATGGAGTCAAGCATCGCTGGAACTACCTGATGCGCACCATCCCTGAGATCGGACCCCTCCTCCACCCTCTGGAAGAAGCTATCAGTGTCAAGTTCATTCCCAAATTAGTGAAACACCCTGACTTAACCCCAGCAGAAAGATCACTTCTTGCACTTCCACCAAGACTGGGAGGGATGGGACTAACAAATCCAGAGGAGATTGCTGACACAGAACATCAAAATTCACTTAAGCTCACGGCAGCCCTCACGGACCACATAATAGCCCAGAATGCAACAGGGGAAGTGGATACCAGCGAAGTAAATAAGATTCGTAGGTCCATTATGACAGATCGACAGCACTGCCAAAATGATATGTTGCAGCAACTATTGCTGCAGGTTCCAGAAAATTTGAAAAAGTAGCTATTGCGCAGGAGGTGGGCGCCTCGAACTGGTTAACTACGTTACCGATAAGGGCAAATGGTTTCAGTCTTAATAAACAAGAATTTACAGATGCCATTGCTCTAAAGTACGGTTGGCCAGTAGAAGGTTTGCGTCCCAATGCGTGTGTGGCTCTTCCTATGATGGCGATCACGCCATGGTGTGCAAGAAGGGGGGCTTCATATGCATGCGGCATGACGAGGTAAGGGATCTCACAGCAAATATGTTGAAGGAAATCTGGCGGGACGTCATGGTAGAACCGACCCTCCTTCCATTGGATGGCGAGATCTTCCAACACAGGACTTCGAACACATCTAACGAAGCCCGTGTGGACGTCAGTGCTTGAGGATTCTGGACGAGGGGACAGCGAGCTTTCTTCGACATCAGGATTTTTGATCCCATGGCCGCATGTCACCATAACCTAGCTCTCAATGCTGCACATAGGAGGAACGAGAACGACAAGAGAAGGGCATATGGGGAGAGAATTCAAAGCGTTGATCAAGGTAGCTTCACTCCTCTAGTGTTCACAACCTCTGGTGGGATGGGCCCAAGTGCAAGATGTTTCTACGCCAGACTCGCGGAGTTGATCTCCGAACAGAAGCAGCAGCCCAGAAGTTATGTTA